TTTTTTGCGGTACACGGGCCTTTCACTGTTTTGGCCTCTCCCGTTGCGGAGCACAGGCTCTGGACGCGCAGGCTCAGCGGCCATGGTTCACGGGCCTAGCCGCTCTGTGGCATGTGGGATCTTCCCGGACTGGGGCACGAACCCGTGTCCCCTGCATCGGCAGGCGGACTCTCAACCACTGTGCCACCAGGGAAGCCCATACAAGGATATTTTTGACAGCGTTTTTATTACAGTAAGAAAGTTATTGGGAAGGTCCAGGTGTTCATCCGTGGGACATCGGAGTCGGAACTTGGATGCTGCTCAGCCCTCAAGAGAACGAAGGGGCGCCCACATCCCCAGCAGGCGCCATCTCCGCACAGTGCTTCTCAAACAAGAGAGACAGACAGCCCGCTTTCCGCATTCAGCTCCAGTCCACTGTGGATGATTCTTTTGTCAAGTACAATAAAAATGTGGCCCTTCCAAATTACTTCAAAGCCCCTGACGTCCTAACGCGTATTCTCACTTTGTGTCCTTTCCTCGCGGGCCTGGACACTGTAAGGACCAGCTCGGCCCACTGACCACACACTGTGTGTGCCGGCCCAGACGCGTCAGCCTGTGAGAGGAGCAGCCCGCCGAACAGTGTGCTTGGAGCCCCAGGTGAACATACAAAGCGTGTGTGTGCACGTGTGCACATACAGGGCGGACTGGAAGGAAGCACATCCAGCGCTTTGAGGAGGATAGCGGAGTGAGAAGAGATGGGTGAAGGGTTTGGGGTTTGCTCTGTGAACTTCTCTGTCACTGGTGGTTTGTAAGAATGCCCAGCATACTCCATTGGTTCCCTTTTGGGAAGGCCACCCTCCCCCAACACCGTGCGATGGTAGGTTTCTACTCTCCCACATTTGGGGGATAGCAAAGGCTGTGAACAAGACTGGTCTGTCTGCATTTTTTTACAAAGATGATTTACCCGGGTCATCAGTCATGTGACTGTGATCATTAAGTGGTACAGAATGACCAGCTGTGACAGAAGTATCTTATCATCACTTGACAATATTGAAAATGTGAGACGGTACAGCCAAGGCAGAGCCACACCCACTCTGGCTCCCTCTGGTTTCAGCGCCACCAGGCAGGGTCGACCCCAGGGTACACCTGCCCCTGCCCCAAGGCTTGTCCTCGCCTGTGTGCCTCTGGGAAGGGACCTCATCCCCGCAGGGAGCTAGCAGAGCAGCCCCTTCACTGGCCCTGGCTTCATCCTGCATCCTCCACGGCCTGGGGTCAGGCCCTGTGCCAGCCACGTCCCTCCCTCTCAGGTCCAGGCCTTCGGATCCGCATTTACAGACAGGCAGACTCGCGTGGTTGGGCGTGTGGCCCAGAGCTGCCCAGGCGGCCCTTGATTCAGCCCTTCACTCCCCCACCTCTTCTTCAGGTGAGTGGGTGGGTGGCAGTGCTGGGGAGTCACCTGTCCCCAGGTGCCCCGTCCCCGTTTGCACTCCTGTCAGCCCAGCTCTGAGTGCTCACCCCTCACTTCTGAGAGGCCATTACACCATCTGCTGTGGGTGAGGCCAGGACCATGATGGATGCCAGCACAGCCTGAGCAGGCCTGCACGGTGGAGGGCCAGAAAAGGGCAGGTCATGCAGCCAAACTGAGTGGACTTCAGCTTGGCCCACCTCTCTCCTACTCTGTTCTTCCTCCTGCTGCCAGTTCAGCTTTTGCCAGAAATTGGAACTGCACATGATGTTTTCCTAATCTATAGTATACAGCTAGGATTCCTTAAAGTGTTGTTTCTAAGGATCTTAACATCTAACAGTTTTGAAAGACTTTATTTGGGGGGTAGTTTTAGGTTCATAGCAAAACTGAGCAGAAGACACAGATTTCCCATACACTCCCTGACCCCACACACGCACTCCTCCCTCATAAT